CGCAAAAATGGGAACCGAAACGGTAAAATTTCAAGAATTTTTCAAGATTTTGTTGTGCTATACGATAATTGGAACGCACAAAATGCTATGTATTTGGCTCATGAAGTGTTGAATGAGGTGCTTTAACATTTAACTTAAATATGATTTCTTTTAACTCGTAGTTAGTCTAAAGAGATAATCAGTTCCTAGGATATAATATTCCACGAAACATTAAAGTGATATTTTCAGGCCATGGACTGTGACGACTTTTTTCCAACTTCGCAATGCACGTTCCGTATTCCCATGCTTTGATTTACCGGTCATGAAAACAACCATGGAGCTTTGCATAACACATCCAGCCGGGACCGAAGCAAGGTAAGTAGGAGTTGAAAAATTTCGAAATCACCTAGATAGTTGTTGCGAAAATTCAGTGGTATTATTAGAACGCAGCTATGCTTAAATCTTCCTTTTCTAAGTGTTGTAGAAATTTTATAAATATAAACAATGAATATCTCTGACTAGGAGACTGGAAGAGGACGCGGGCCTGAAATCGTCTATTCATTAAAATATGCAGTTTGTTTGGCGTTGCTGGCCCACCGTGGAAAAAAGGAACACAGTCGAATTTTGATAACTAATGAAAACACTGAAAATGCGTTTATACCTCCCACATAGGCAGGCGTGTATTGTCACAACTAATACCTATTGCTTAGCTAGGATTTTATGAGTACCACTCGATGGTGGGCAGTTAAAACAGTTGTGTTCTGATTTTTACCTCTGATATCTGTTACTCCTGCCATATAGGTACACGTTAGGATCTATGAATATCATTCGCACATCGGTACTACTTGGTTAATGCATGACCCTAATATTGTTGTTGCAACTGTCCCAGTAGTGGTACCACTGCGTTTGTGCGGGCCCCAGTTTGATATTCTTTAAATAACGGGAATTTCATTCATTTAAAAAAAATGATACGGCTGATCACTGAAGAGCATTTATTAATTATCACTGCCTCAGCTTCTTAAATCAGCTTTATTCAGACAAATTTATTTGAAGTTTTCCATCGCATTTTATAGCCCACAGTTGATTCTGCAGCAGCGTACCTAGATATTTTGACCAGCTGCATTTCATAGTTTGATTCTCCAACTGTGCAGCTAGCAACTTTTCCAACTGATTTGGCCAGCGCTGCATCGTTTGATGGTCAACGAGCTGGAGATTTTGACCGATCAAATCATCTTCTAAAGGGCTTATCAGCTCTAAAGCTGTACCAACAGAATTTTTACCATCACATCAGTGGTCAAAATTTGTACTCATGCGATATGATTTCGAGTCATTTTACCTTATTTTTGTATGTTTTTCATCCTTTCCAGACAATTTTAGGGAGTTCCTCCCTTTTTGCTTTTGAAACCCTTGAGAAGACTGTCTAGTAACGATAATATGGATCAGTTATTGGTATTATGGTACGATTTCACCTCTTTTCGGTATTCAAAGCTATTTGTCATCACCCCTGGGGTTTCCTCATTCACCAACGTATTTATCGGCTCAGGCCTCTTTCAGCTTGCTTCCTCACACGATGAGAGAAGGAATCATTGACTCACTTGAACCGCTGATGAGTGTCTCCCTGTTCCCCGAAGAGTTAATTAAGAGAGGGATTATGAGATTTATAAGGTTTAATATTTGCCAAACAGACTGGAAGGCCCCTTTGTTTTCCATCTGATATTGTCGAAATAACTGGCTTATCGTAATTCTTTGCTGCTGGCCAGTATCATTGGGCCATGAAGTGGTCAGCGATATGAATTTGAACACCAAAAATCCAGAAATTAATTTATGATTAATTTTGTTAATCTGTTAGGTCAAATGAACAGCTGAGTAAAATTTCGAATATAAATGGAAAAACTGAATCGTGTTTCGAACGAACACCGCCAATGAGCACCTATTTGTACGCATTTACAATATTTGATCGAATGAGTTCTCTGAAAGAAGGGCGAGAAAAGTTCGGCGAAGGTCTTCCAGAAATTGAAGTGTTGTATTCGGAAGAAGATAGCATCATCAGACCTGAGTGGATTAATCGAGAAGCTGCACATGTAAGTATTATTATTATCTTTTTTGAGGTTTTGAAACTGCAATATTTAAGGTTAGCAACAACGATTAACTGCATATATTCTCATTTAGTTAACTATTATTATAATTATTACTACTGCTTTTGTTATTAATGGTTATGTTAATATCGTTATTTTTTATCACCATCATTATCATGTTTGTTATTGTCGTTATCGTCATTTGTTACCGTTATCATT